TGCCAAAGGCCAGGTTTATCTCTAACTGCCCAGCTATACTGTGGATACTACTTTAAAACTGAGGTGTGTGTGTGTGTGTGTGTGTGTGTGTTTTCCTTGAAAAGGCAGAAGAGGAAGGAAAGAACAAGAAGTCATCAATCACAAATGAATCGCATCCAGGAAGAAAGAGTATTAGTGTTCCCCAAGCAATTCTTCAGTTCACCCACCTCCTGATCTTTTTCTCTAACACAAGAAATGTAAATCTGTCAAGGTATGTTATGATGAAGATAAGTTGCTCTGTGTCTTCTGGTATAGAGACTCTGTTCCGCACCATATACATGATCCTTTGAAGGCTTGAGGTCTAAAAATACAACACTGCAGGCTGATACGAAAGGAATCCTGCAGCCAAGGTGGCCAAGTACATATTCTTTAAGATCCGCCTTCCCAAATGGGTGCATTCCAGATGTTTCATCATGGCCAACAGCCAGGAGTTGTAGCCCCAAACACCTGGAGGGCATTAGGTTGTGGAAAGCTGCTTAAAACAGTCCTCTAACTAGGGTTTGCTAATGCAGATGTGGAATTCTCTGTTTCCTTTGTGTTTGCTCACTGGTCAGACATCCCTCCATGCAGATGCTGGCGGTATTTGCTGACACCAGATTTTGTTGCTGCTGTTAACCAACAACCTGTGGATTGTATGTAATTAAATCGTTTAAATGACGTAGTTCTGTGGAGTGTTCTGTGTTTTGCCTTCAACCAGAACCTTCGGTGGAGGAACACAGAATTGTAGAGTTGGGAGGGAACTTAGTGGTTAAGAGCGGTGGACTCATAATCTGGGGAACCGGGTTCGCTTCCCCGCTCTTCCACATGCAGCTGCTGGGTGACCTTGGGCCAGTCACACTTGTAGTCTCTCAGTCTCATTCACCTCACAGAGTGTTTGTTGTGGGGGAGGAAGAGAAAGGAGATTGTTAGCCACTTTGAGACTCCTTAGGGTAGTGATAAAGCGGGATAGCAAATCCAAACTACTACTACTACTACTACTACTACTACTACTTCTTCTTCTTCTTCTTCTTCTTCTTCTTCTTCTTCTTCTTCTTCTTCTTCTTCTTCTTCTCCAACCCCCTGCAATGCAGGAATCATTTGCCCAACCTGGGGCTTAAACCCAGAACCTTGAGATTAAGAGTCCCATGCTCTACTGACTGGGCTATCCAGGAGCTGTCCAATGTGCTTAATCTAGTTATGAAGGAAGAAAACGTAAATATGAAGAAAGAAGCTTTTAGGCATAGAGACCGCGAGGACCTTCCACTGCACTATGAAAGGTGCTCAGGGACGAAGGGTCCCTGAGAATTCAACAGAATCCTCTCCCCACCCAGTGCATATGCACAGGTACATAGGTGTGACTCCCACAATGCCATCCAGCCTCGAATACAAGTCGCTTATCCTTCAGACGCAAGCAACACAAAGAAGGCTGGAGAAAGATCAGCGGCTCCAAGACCTTTTCAGGCCATTGCCCCCTTGGTTCCATAAACTCATCCCCAGCGACCCCTACCCTACCGTGTAAAAAGCATTATTCAGAATACATTGGTACCTCTGGTTGCAAACGGGATCCGTTCCAGAGGCCCGTTCACAACATGAAAAACCTGCAACCTGAAGTGCCATATCTGCGCATGTGCACAGTGTGATTTGGGGCTTGTGCACATGCACTAAGCACAATTTAGTGCTTCTGCGCATGCGTGAGTGGCGAAACCCGGAAGTAACACTTTCCGGTACTTCCGGGTCACCGCGGGACGCAACCTGAAAAAACGTAACATGAAGCAAACATAACATGAGGTATGACTGTAATGGTTTGCACAACCCACTGAGGAAGACAACAACACAATATAATTCAAACCGGTAACAATTAATTGCACATTTATTCAAAAGCCAATTAAAACTATTTTGTTTAATTAATTCAACAAAATGGTTGAATTTGATCCAGTGATACCAGGTTTCCAAAGTGGGATAGTCGTTCACTGTAACTCCAGTGCCCCCTACCTTGCCTCTTAAGTAATCCCTTTGCCCCCCCAGGGGGCGGTACTCCCCACTCTGGGGACCTCTGGACTAGTTGGGGGATATGGGAGTTACACGCAGCCTCTCCTAGAGTTGCTGTGTGCCTATGGGCTTTGTGTGAGCATAGGTGGGGAAGCCAGGTTCTCCTGCACTTACGGGAATTGTCTTTGCCTGGGTGCCGCATCCACAGATATCTGGCTTGCGGCTGGCCCTGTTCTGTGGAACAGCATTCCTGTAGAGGTGCCAGCTATCTGCACCTTCCAGAAACAACTGAAGACTTTTTTTTTTTTTGTTCTGTCAAGCTTTCCAAGCTAGATGAATAGGTCTCTGCCACAGAGGCCTCCGCTGAATAGTTTGCTAAATTCATTTGCCACTATTATTTGTGCTGTTTTATAACTCCTTTTAGCTATTTTTTATGATATTATGTACATCACCTTGAGAGATGCAGAAGGTGATTGAGAATATAATAACCATAACCCCGTCTTAAAGTTACCAGTGCGTGCACCGCCACAAGACAATTACCTTATTGACATATCAGGATCATTTAAAATGTCAACTGACACTCATCTCATTTGTGTATGCTTATGTATATATACATAATACAACAGAATATTACGTACATTCACAGACATGCATATTCATTGATCAAAGGCCAACGCAAAGCTATGTTCCCTGAATTAAAAGCATTCTGCCTTTGTTTTTCCACTGAACACTTGGGAGGCTAATTTCCATTCATGATGCATGTCTCCTGAACAGTATCAGTTATTTAAGACAGCCATTAAAAGCCTATGATATTACCATAATGAAGCAAAACTTTAGAGAGTTAGAACAGAGCTCTTCAGATAAGTTACCACCAGGCTGTTAAACAGATGCCTTTTCTCTGTAATGGGATTACAGGACTGATGTACAGGCAACTCTCTCTGTAACATAAATCACAATTGTAGCAAACACATGTCTCATGATCACGGCGAACACAAAGGATTTGCCATGGAAAGAAAGAAATAAAGGGGGGGGTTGGAAACAAAACAGGGAGGCAGCAAAATTGTTGAAGCCAGTTCTGAGGTTTCCTGCCAGGCATTTAATTGGGGGAACTGACAGGAAGTTATCCAATACAGAATCTGTTAGATAGAGGCAGTTGCTTCTGCAATGATTGCTTAGGAAAGCTAAATAGAAATGCCTGTCTATTTATAGAAAGAGGTGATTGCAGCTATTAATTTGAGCAGTGGGATTCAAGTATTTTATGTGCATTTGATTTCGCTGGCTTCTGAGTAAACTGGAAGGCTATTTTAAGGCTGAATCGTTCTGCACAGAGCTGTCACAGCATTTTCTTCTGTATTAAAGATTTTCTTGGTTTACAAAAGTACATGCGTTGTCTCTTCTTCCAGGTTGTACAGTCTTTCTTACAAATCAGCTACATTTGTTGTGAGACATTAGTGTTGAGTACAGTAGAAGGTTGGGGGAGAGGAAGGGTGGGGTGGTGAGGCTTAGATTACTTTTACATAGTGTACGTGTGTGGTTTCGTGTCAGTGTCAACTGGGTAGGTTCTCTTTCTATTCGTTTATTACATTTCCTTGGTAGTGAGAGGTATAGGGGGGCCAGGGTGTGGCTGGTTGTCTGTGGTTGACTGCAGTGGGGTTTGTTTGCATTTGTGGAGGGCTTGTTGGGTCAGGTAAGCCAGACTGATCTGTATGCTGTCAGCCGATTCTTGTTGCTGTGTTGTTAGTGTATGTGATAAACAGGAGCCATACTGGGGTGAAGGCGTCTTCTTCTATTTGTCCTCATGTCAGTTTCAGTTTATTGGTTAGTTTTTCTAGTACAGTGGTACCTCGGGTTACAGACGCTTCAGGTTACAGACTCCACTAACCCAGAAACAGTACCTCGGGCTAAGAACTTTGCTTCAGGATGAAGCCGGCGGCAGCGGGAGGCCCCATTAGCTAAAGTGGTACCTCAGGTTAAGAACAGTTTCAGGTTACAGGTTAACCCGAGGTATCACTGTAAGGCTGTTTCCTATACTACTTGATACCACTGGTCCATGCTTACTCCTGAAAGGTCTCTCCATTGTCTGGCTGACTGCTGAGAGCAGGTGGGTTATAAGCTCTGTATAATGTGAATGGTCATTATGATCTTGGAAGATTATTCAGTAGGGCCAGTTCTGAGGTGATTTCTAATACCTGTGTAGTTATTTTGCATATTTTATATATTTATTTCAATAAGTCTGAGGCTGCAATCCAAATCCTTCAAAGTCAATGGCTGGGGAAGCGGGTAGGAGGAAGACACATAGAGCAGGTTCGGATGGCCTTTAGAGGACTGTGGTTGCAGGTTTGGGTGGCTCCACTGTGCCATAGACCTCAAGCAGGTAGTAGGGGTTAGAAGCATTCAAATCCACCCAGTTAGGGTCCTGGTGACATGCCTAACACAGTGCTTCCTGCAACTAGCTTGGAATTCAGCACTTTGCAGATCTGGGCAATTAACTTCTGACTAGCGATGGACCAGGGATGGATAGACCAGCCTGTTTCCATTTTGTGTCATTTTCACATGCACCCAATCATAGGTCCATTCCATTCAGTGGGGAGAGAGCTGCATGAAAAAAACCCCACACATATAAATTGTACTAATTCCATATGCATTCTATATGCATTCTTCCTCTAAAATAAGCATGTTTGTAGGCTTTTCAATTTCCCCCTAAAACACAAACTTTTGTGAACATTTTTGAACCAAAACCGCATTGCAAAATCCAACCAAGTGCATAATCCAATCGATAGCTACAATCTGATTGGCATCTAAGTCCAGGAATGAAAAATTAGGTTGGTTTGCTTCAAAACGTGGACCAAACAAATTTCTCCTCTGCCTGTACACCAGAGCCTTCGATTTTGACTGTGACAAATTTGGGTCACTCCCTTATGGGCAAAGTACACTTACGACACGTAAGAAAACAGGCAGGAAGATTAGAAGAGGGGAAATGTTTCCAAGTTTACCTTTGCTTTGCGAAACCGGTAGACCACGAGCATGCTTATGAAGTCCAGCAGCATACAGAGAGTTTGGAATGAGATGATAGCAAGCCGTAAATACTTGTCCTCCTGTGCATAGCAGGGAGTATCATCTGTGCAGTAAGAACATCCTTCCCTGCAGGGTAAGCAGCTGTAGATTTTCTCCGACATCTCGCCTCCAGGAAAATGGCTCTCTGCAACCTTTCCTAAAAGTATCAGATATAGGGAGGGCAGGAGAGAGAGAGAGATAAAATGGGGGGGGCATTTGCTTGCCTTCCCGGTGACCCATGTTCCACCCTCCCCTTTTTATGAACCATATAAACCTTTGAGACAAAGCTGCCATTTTGGAGGTAGTAGCAGAAGCCCCTCCTACTCTCGAGTAGGACCCTGGCAGAGACACATGCCTGACTGGCATGTTCCCTCCCTCCTGGTCGATTGTTTGGGAGCTTCAAAAGCTTTCTTCTGCCCGAACATCACAGCGACCGATGCCAACAGACATTGGCACACTTAGGGATCCGCAGAGTCTTTGCAGCTTGCGTAACAGACCTCAGCAACTTTGCATTTTGGCTAATCTATTTTATTTACTTATAAATACACATGGGCCCTGCAGCATGGCTCCCTCTCTCTCTAGCATCAGACAGCAAAGAGAGAGGACAGAGGACAATAGTCCCACTTCATGGAACACAGTAACACAAACATCCTGTTTCCGTCACTTCCCACCCTGTGGAGTCAAAACATACACCATCATGGGATAGACAACAATCCCATGACTGCAACCATGGAGCAGGAATTCTAACATCAGATACCTGTGGGAAACCGACAAGAAATGCCCAAACAAAATAGGGCTATCCCACCATATGGTTTGCAGCAAATTATATTCAGAAGTATGCTGCCTCCAACTATGGAGGCAGAGCAGAGCCTTCCTGTCTAGTAGCCACTGATAGCCATATCCTCCATGAATTTTTCAGCATTTCTCAAAGTATGAGGTCCCAAGGCTCACTATGGAAGTGTGCTAGCCCAGTTTGTGTGTGCCTGCCTAGACTGGCTGTCAGGGCTGGAGTCAGATGCAGGTCAGCACAAAGAAGCAGAGTTAGCTGTCGGTCACTGTTAGCTCTTTATTCGAGAAAATGACATACAAACTGAGCTACACTTCCCAGCAGCTCTTGCCCCTGTAGAGCAGTTGCCCGGACTGAAGGGGCCTTCCACCCTTTAGTGTATTTTTGGTCTTTGTTGGAAGCCACCCAGAGTGGCTGGGGAAACCCAGCCAGATAGGCGGGGTACAAATAATAAATTATTATTATTATTATTATTATTATTATTATTATTATTATTATTCTGTGGCTCCCTCTCTTCTGGATGTCTCCCAAGCAGTCTAAAACTGCATCTGTTCACCTCTGGTCTCTGTTCTGCTCTCCCCACTATCCTGCATGTTCTTGGAGACAAAGGGGGAGCTTGTCACAGCAGGAGAGGGGGACTCCCTGGATTCTTCAGCAGCCTCTTGACACACACACACCCCAGCTTCAGCCTCGAAGTCTGAACTGCTCCCTGTCACAGGGTCCTCCTGCTCACTAAACCCTGTCTCTCCAGTATGCAGCACCTCCTCACAATCTTTCCCTTCTGACATCTCATCGGTGTCCCACCACCAATCCCTGGGCTCAGGGCCTTTATCCTCTGGGATTTCCTTTGGGGGTTCCACGCCTGGCACCTTCCACCACTCCTGGCACTGGCCAGCTGCAGGCTGGACTAGCATGATCCCTGGCTTTAAGATTGCGATTTCCTTAATATTTGCCCTTCGCTTCTGATTCCTCACTCCTGTAGGAAATGCCTGACCCTACTGCCTACCTACTGACGTCCATCTAGGCTGCAAGTATCCTTTCAAGACCCTGATCAAATTGGGCAGTGAGTTCCCTCTGCAGGCCTTGGCCTTGAACAGGACAATTTTCCTCTCCCTGCCTTCAGCTGGAGTCAGTCCTCCTACTGAGCCTTCGCTGGTCCTTCAAAAAAGAATGAACTGGGCTGTTTTTCTGGTGTTCGCATCAGGCGCAGAACCCCAAATGGAAATCCATCTGCCCTGCCATCTCAGCAACCCACTTCAGCCTCCCGGTTCTGTCTCGACCTACAACCGTGCAGCCTCACCGAAAGCAGAAGGATGGCAAAGTTTTCAGTGGGAAAAGCATCTGGCCGGCAAAATCTTGATTATTAATGATGGTGAGCAAGCAAGACCACAGCTTGACTTTCAGGTTCCTTGCTGGGTCTGCAGAGCTGGCAGTTTAGATAAACAATCTTTTTAAAACTAATGTGCTGAGGAAATTTCACAGAGCGTCAGAGGCTGCACAAACAAAAAAATATCTCCACAAATTTCGCTCCAGCAACATTGCCTTCTAGAGTAGAAATGAAAAAATGTAACAGCACTTCTGGCACCCTCTAACCCAGTTTTTCCCACTGAATCGCTGCTCCCCATCTGGGGAGCAACCGTATAACTGTAGTAATTAAGCAAAATTCTGCTCAGTTAGCAGATAGCTAAGGTAAAACATGACCCACAGAGGCTGCAATCCAAAACATGCTTACCAGGCAAGAAGTCCTGTTGAAACAGTGGTGCTGACATCTGAGATACACACACTCATAAATGGACCGACCTACCTATTTATTTATTTATTTATTTATTTATTTATTTATTTTATTTTATTTTATTTTATTTTATTTTATTTTATTTAAAATGCAGCAAGGCAGTGTATAATATTAAAAAACAGAATACTACGATGGCATAAATTAAAAAAAAGCACTAATAAAGACTGGTTGGTAAAATAATTCTAAAAATCACATTCCATATTCCAAAGGCCTGTCAATGAATTACAGCATTTAAAAATGTCCATAAGAAGGCAGGGCCTGCCACACTCAAGACCTGGTCCCTGATAAAGGCTGAACAAACCGCCCCATCAGAAGATCTCAGTGACTGAGGTGGAACATAAGGAATCACAAAGTCCTTGCGGTACTTTGGGCCCAAGTTGTTAAGACAAATTAATCCTGCGCAAGCTTCTGCGCTGCTCCCAGCTTTATACATTTTGCCCTTATTTTGAATCTACAGTCCCGCCATCCCTCCTCACAGCTGGGTTTTCTTGCTCCAGGAACATTTTACATTCTAATACTTCTGTCCAGAGTCATCTCTCTCTTCTTGTCAGACTTCAGCCAAAAAAAGAGAAAACCCTCCCCAAAAGCTATGCAAACAGACCTCCAGGTCATGCTGTTTCTTTTGCAGCAACCATCGGCCTCCACCAGTTCCTCATCTTGCATTCATTTCCACAAAATCACCTCTTGGATTCCCACAGTAACAGCCCTTTTTATGTTGCAGTGGAGGCGACAGGCTACATTTTACATTTTGAATTAGTAGCTTTTCTTTCATCGTTTGACAACCTTCACCACTCTTGACACTAGCTGTCTCGCCCTTTGGTTTTGATAAGACACATATATTCCGTCTGGCAGGCTGAGAGTCACATCAAACAGCTACATCTCCAAGGATGAAGGGAATTTCTGAAGGTGTCACATTATGCCAAAGAGGGTTTTGCTTTTTTTTTTTTAAAGGCCTTAAATTTACTTGCATATAAGTACTATTTAATCAATAGTATTTTGCTTAATTTAATTTTTTGTTTTTGGTGTGTGGGCCATTTGATTTCAAGTGAGAAAACACTGAAAGTCTTAAAAAAAAAATTATTTGTTTACTAAATTTATATGCCAGCCCTCCTTCAAAGGGTGGCAAATATGTCAATATGTACTAAAACAGTAAAATTTAAACTTCTAAAAAGAGTTAAGAACTCCTGAAAGGAACCACCTACCCTCAAACTAATAATTTTGGGGTTGCCAGGCACAGGACTTTCAGCCATCAAATGCCTGGGTAACACTTTTAAATCTCTCTGTTTGCACCAGACCTTTAAATCTAGCGGCAAATGCTAATAAAGTTTGTATCTATCTAAATCAAAGGAACCTCTAGTAAGCTAGAGCCATGCTACGGAATGCCGTGTGTGACAGAAAGCCTATGTGAATGACTGGCAATGCCATTTCCCCCTTGCCTGTAGGCTGGAACTACATATTACACTTATAAAATGGGTTCCCAAGCAGGTAATACAAATGTGGAAATGGAGGAAGCATTTGAAGCAGAGAACTGGAAGGAAGGAACACCTCCTGCGCCTATTGATTCTTCCCTGGGTTTACTTCTGTTCCGGGAGCCCAGCTGGGTAACACAGAAAACATGGGATGGCTCAGAACCCCATGTCTTCATTGTAACATATGGTTCTGCCTTGAATCATTGCAAGAGAATAGGAGTCATCGTGATACCTTCTGTCCATGGCTAAAAAGTCATTGGGGAAAGAACCGCATGTTGTCAACTCTCTCAAAGTAATGTAGTTTCCCCTTCATCTTGCCATTTTTCCAGCTGCAAGAGTCAGGGGTCTGCACAGAAACTCAGAAATAGCAGAAAGCACTAGATGCACAGGAAATGTCTTTGAGCATTCATGAACAGATGATCATCGATCTCCTCCACCAGATGGCCCAAACTCAATGCTGCTCACTTACCTAGGGACTGACTCTACCCTAGCTAGTGGAACTGTAGCTAGATTACCCCATCAACATCTCCCTGCAGGGGTCAATATGGCCTGCACTAACTATGGCATGCCAAGATTTCAAAAACTGGGTTCCAGGTCTGGGACTCCTGAGATAACCCCCACCAGAATTTTTCAGAGATTTACCACACTAGATCACATGATAGACTTGAGCAGCCTTTCAGTGTATAAAGCAGGCTTCCTCAACCTCGGCCCTCCAGATGTTTTGAGACTACAATTCCCAGCATCCCTGACCACTGGTCCTGCTAGCTTGGGATCATGGGAGTTATAGGCCAAAAACACCTGGAGGGCCGAGGTTGAGGAAGCCTGGTATAAAGGAAGGATAAAAACTGAACCCTGCATACCCCTCAAGACATAATTCTGACCCAACTTTTGCAATCGTCAAAAATATTTGGCTAAGACATAGCAAGGACAGAACGATGCTCTTGGACATTGGTCTGTGGGGCTAGAATTCCTTATCCCCAAACTTCCTTAGAAGCCAGGATTTCCTTTGATGTCCACAAGTCTGATTTATGTTAAATGCAATAATGAAAGGGAATTGGCTGATCAAATTAAACTAATCATTGTTCTAGCCATGATGGCTATGTTCTGCCTCCACTATTGGAGGCGAGATGCTTCTGACTACCAGTTGCTGGAAACCACATGTGAACAGAGTGCTGTTGCACTCAGGTCCTGTCTGCCAGCTTCCCAGGGACATCTGGTTGGCCACTGTGAGAATAGGATAGTGGACTTGATGAGAGTCTGGCATGATACAGCAGGGTTCCTCTTATGTACTAGCAATGGAGAGTATAAACACCCTCTTCCAGGAAATGATGCAAGGTGAGAAGGGCTTAAACCCTTAAAGGGTAAAGGCACCCCTGACCATTAGGTCCAGTCGTGGCCGACTCTGGGGTTGCGGCGCTCATCTCGCTCTATGGGCCGAGGGAGCTGACATACAGCTTCCGGGCCATGTGGCCAGCATGACTAAGCTGCTTCTAGTGAACCAGAGCAGCGCACGGAAACGCCGTTTACCTTCCCACTGGAGTGGTACCTATTTATCTACTTGCACTCTGATGTGCTTTCGAACTGCTAGGTTGGCAGGAGCAGGGACTGAGCAACGGGAGCTCACCCTGTCACGGGGATTCAAACTGCCGACCTTCTGATCGGCAAGTCCTAGGCTCTGTGGTTTAACCCACAGCGCCACCCACGTCCCAGAATAAACCCTTAAATGCAGAGCCAAAAAAACCACCACCTGCACCTCAATTACCCAGAACCTCCATTTGTTGCCTCCTGAAGTTATGCACACTGGAAAAACCAGCAGCTGGTTTATACAGATAATAGAACAATGAAATTTCAAAAGGAAAATCAGCAAAACTAAAGCGCTTATAAATGGGAACGCAGCACACTTCTGCTCTAATGATGATACCACAAATTGCTGCTGCCCAGCAGCAAAGGGGTTTTAAAGGGGGTGGGGTGGGAATTATATTTATTTACAAATCAAATACACTTAAAAGTAGGTATGTTTTACAGGATTCTCCAGAGTGTCACAGATGACAAACCACAGGGCTAAAATTCCTTAAGTGATTATATAATCCCTCCGTTGCAGGCCATTGGGAATATACTGTATAGCCCTGACAAGGATAAAAAGGAACCCTGCATTATTAATACGCTCTCTCTCTCTCCCCATCTCTCTTTCAAACCAAAGCAAAGGAACTTACTGTGAAAGCCGTTCATTGAAAACATTTTGGGACGATAGAATCCAGCCTTACAAACGCACTTGTAGGCTCCGAGTACAAATCCATGGCCCTTCACTGGCACACACTGGAAGGAAGGAAGGAGAAAGGGAGAAGATGAAAGAGGTGCCCACTCACTTTCCCAGAGATGCTGAACATCTTCATCTTGAGCCTGACAATACAGCAGGGGGCTTTCCTTTACAAAAAGCAAAACAGGGTTTTTTGTTTGTTTTCTAAGGCTCAAACAACAACTGTGATTTGTTCTAACTGTTTTTCATTCTGAATTTTAAAATATTGCAACCCAAGCTGGAACCTGCTGGTGAACGATAAGGTAATGTATTTTTCGCTCTATAAGATGCACCAGACCACAAGACGCACCTAGTTTTTCGAGGAGGAAAACAAGAAAAAAATATTCTGAATCTCAGAAGCCAGAACAGCAAGAGGGATCGCTGTGCAGCGAAAGCAGCAATCCCTCTTGCTGTTCTGGCTTCTGGGATAGCTGCGCAGCCTGCATTCGCTCCATAAGACGCACACACATTTCCCCTTACTTTTTAGGAGGGAAAAAGTGAGTCTTATAGAGCAAAAAATAAGGTAATTAATGTAGCTGTGGCAGTGATAGTAGCAGTGACAACAATAGCAGCTATCCAGCAGTGGGACTGAATGCCTTGGGCTCGCCTTCACTGGAGGTATTCAAAGCAGAAGCTGGACAGTCAGGGGGAAGATCGTAAATCCCTGCACTGAGGGAAGTGGTCGAACTAGGCGAACTCCAAACGTCCCTTCCAACTCCCACGTTCTGTGGTTCTAGGCCAGGGCATCTTCACTGCATGAATACTTTGTATTAACATGGCACAGCTGAATTGCATTAAAACAACAACATATGCAGGCTGGCATAAAAATGAAAATATTTAGGGTAAAAAACCAGGCTAGATAAACTTATTCCAGTCATTTAGATTTATCAGTATTAGCAGATCACCAGACCACAATGTTACAATAAGCATCACAGCAGGCTCTAATTAGCATGCAGGCCATGAATATTTAACTGGAACAACATATCTATGCATATATATCTACTTGTGAAGTCACAGCCACCTGTGGATAATAGCTTTATGACACTTTCTGTGATCGTAGAGACAAAAATGAGGTAGCGAATCACAGCACAGAAAATGGAGATTTACCGTAAAATGTTGAGTTGGACAACTGATCTCCGATTCCAGATAAACATGACCAAAAGGGAGCAATCTGAGGGCAGTCTAACTTTATACATAATGGTAAAATGAAACAATATAATGGGATAACCCACATTCACTGGTGTTCCACATTGACCAGAGACATACATACATCATCATCATCATCATCATCATCATCATCATCAATGAATTGCTTCCCATGACGCATCTCAAAATGATTTACAGTGAAACAAAAGCATCTACAAAACAGTTACATATACAGTATTGGTCCGAATATAAGCTGCACCCAAATATAAGCCACACCTTAAAATTGAAGGGGAGGGAGAAAAAGAAAAAATACCCACTCCCTTTCTTGCTGCTCCTGGCTGCAGGGGGGGGGAGGGGGAGCCATGCTGCGTCGCCGGCGGCCTTTCCACTTCCTCGCTCTCTCCCTTCGCAGCCTTGAGGGAGAGGAAGGGGGACTATGCATGGGGTGGGCACCGCTTTGCAGTGCTCCTGGCGCTGTTTGCCCCACGCTCCTGCCTGCATACCGTGAGGTTGCGAATATAAGCCACACTTTAACTTTCCACAGTCGGAATTTGGGGGGAAAGTGAGGCTTATATTCAGGCCAATACGGTATTAAACAGGTCAAAGAATTGCATATATTAAAAACACAGAGAGAGACTGATTAAAACAGCTACAGCACATACATGAAATAAACTCAAATCCAATATAGACACCACTGTGATAACGATCCCCCTTTGGAAGGCTTGTTGAAAGAGGAATGCATTTAGCAGTTGATGGAAGGTGATATACGATGGGAGGGAGCTCCAAAGGTACATCATTGTCCCTACTCTCTCCTTATTTTGCATTTTGAAGATATTTTAAGGTTGATTTTTAAACATTTAGTTAGTTTGAGCTGTGAGAATTGTTAGTTTCTGTTATCACTGTGCAGCTGCGTGGAGTCACAGGACTCTGTTTACATTCCAGGGCTTCCAGACTGTTGGCAGTCTCACGGGAAAGGAGACGGGATGTATCCTCCCCAAGTTTTCTACCAAAGCCAGAGCAAACTTTAAAGCTGTCAAAAGTAACCTTACAGTAACTCTTCCCCCTCCCAAAAACCCACTCCCAATTTCACAGCATATGCATAAATACTTATCCAAGCCTATTGGAAAAGCGATGAGGCATTTGCTGTGAGTAGATGGTATGACAAAATATGCAATTGCCACTTGCTGATAAACTCACTCAACAATGCAGACTCACCAGGGATGCAATCAAACGTGACACCATTCTGGACTAGCGGATACCTTTTATTTCATTCCAGCCAAAATTTTCAAATCCTAGAAGCAATTTTGCATCTGTTGTGTGACTATAATGCTAGTCAGAAAATTTACCGAGCTCTGAACATAGTGCAATTGTAGGTGGATTAATTGTGTCCTATATTCTTGTATAAAATAAGAATCAAAATGGCCTCTAAGAAATTGTGAGAGGCACATCCTCTATAGTATACACCAAGGAGAGATGGGCTGGTGCGCTTTGGGTGAAAAAGCAATATATAAATACCCTATAATATACCATTTAGAAGTAGCCAGGCTCTCCCCCCCCCCCACGTTATCAATACTCATTTATTTATTTACATTTATATATACTGCCCATCATGCGAGCATCATAGGGTGGCCGTCCACAGGACCACAAAAATACATAACGCAATAGCAAACAGAACACACAGCCCGCCACCGCTCTTCCATGTATGTTTTAAAGCAAATATTTTCCAGTATCATAAATCAGTGCATCACAATGAGGAGGGCTCTTCCCTATTCCCGAGCCTGCTCTTCTCTGGTTCCACTTGTGACCTGGCACTTGCGCCCATTCCTAGAACCTGACTGATCCTTCTCTGAGGGCAGTTTTCTTTCCCCCTTTTCTTTTTTTTTTCTTCTTCTTTTTTTTCTTCTTCTTTTTTTTCCCTTTTTTTTTGGCCTGAAGCTCTGAAGCCCCAAGGAGAGAGAGGAGAGCTGGGGTTCCTTCGCAGCCTTCGCCTGCCGCAGCTGCGCTGGGCCTTAAATCTCTTTAACTCCAGGCGGATTGGCTCACCTCCAGGCTACGCGCTGGAAACACAGCGCTGCCATGTTCTAGACCACGAAGCAGAGATGCCTTCAAGGGCCCAATAGCAATGAGGCAGGCTCTTAATCAAAAAGCTTGCTGCTGGGTTGTTGGGTTTGCCTAAACATGTTGCAGTTTCACAGCTTAAGGATCTCAGGCTGCCCAAATTTCACACATCCACCCTATCAAGTCAGCTCCTTATGAAAGAAAGGTCACACATGAAGACAAGCCTACAGATAGATTGTTGGTGGTTCAGCTTGGTTAACTTTAATCAATGTGATTCATCACTGCAAAGAGAGAAGAAAATGAATAATGGAATGCCAGGCATTCTGGGCAGGCTATTTTGTATTGTTAAAATTAATCAGCTTTCTGGCTACATATTCAAAGTACATACATGAGCTTGAAGGAAACAAATTATCAACTCATGGACCAATGATTAGTGATTAAATTATTTGGGGCAAGAAGCCTGACAATGCCGTCTATGAATCCAGTGCTTCAAAAATCATATTTCCCTATTAACCTCAGCTGCAAGATTCTTCGACTGACATATTCAATTTAAAGCTCAGTTAAAAAGTTAAGGGGCATCCATCCAAACAGCCTGATTAAGCCTGCCAATTGCAACTTACCATCAGTAGTTTTCATGCAAACACATCTACTGTGCTAGTTTCAGCCTCCCCAACTGCCTGGGCTACTTCAGGAATATAAACTGAATCTATCCAGAGAGGCAGCCTTGTTAATCCATTTCAGAAACAGTGAAGAATCTTATGACACCTTAAAAGCTAAGAGACAGCAGTGTCCTGGACCACAGCAGGAGTTAGAACTCAAATAAAGAGGGGAAAGAGCTGGCTGAGGAACAAGACTGAGTCCTTGAACTTGAGGCTAGTGACCTGCACCTTAGGCTTTGCCCCAGCGCCCCTACAGGCAGTTCCTCCTTAGCCTGAACCACCTGGAGAATGAAGTTCCATCATGCAAGACACCATTTGCTCACCAATACCTGCTCATTGGTGCAGATGACATACCAGGCAGGTAGAAAAGGAAAAGCACCCAATTTCTGGGCTATGGGTCAAAGGGCTTTCCTTTTAATGATACTCATTCCTCAGCAATGGTGGGTGGAGCATAGGAAGGATGGTCAAGGCCTGGGAGAAGAGGAATTAATTAGAGCAGGGGTTGGCAAGGTTTACCTCGCCTGGGCCGGTTCAATCCAGCAGAGATCCCTCTGTGGGCCAGATCGCGTGTGTGCGTGAGTGCGCATGATTTTCGGTGTCAGCATCTGCTCAGACGCGATTTCCAGCATCGCTGACATGAGTTCCTGCGCCGCGTCGGTTTAGTGCAGCAGACGGGGACTCACTGAGCGGGTAGCTCGGTTTGGGGGCGGCTCGTGGGCTGGTTTAATGACCCACGTGGGCCGCTTGTGGCCCATGGCCTTAGGTTGACGGCCCCTGAATTAGAGCAACCTTCAACCAGTGGATGACCTCCAGGTGTTTTCAGTTGCAACAGCCAGCAGTAACAGCCAGCAGCTGGCAGAGCAAATGCACCCAGTGATCTGTCCATGGTACTGAAAGTCTTGTCTCTGGCCTTCTTGACCTACCCATCTCTGCTTGCAGATATCAAACTGAGTTCCTCATTTTCTCAAATTTTCAGTACAGTACTATCCCAGAGAGTGCTGGCTGGACCCCTCTGCCTTCAAGGTCATACTTGGGCTCCACTGCCTCAAAACAGACAAGTGGAGAAAAAAACGGGAAAAAACAGCAGGTCTGTAACATTTCTGCACATAACCCAAGTATATTAGAGGTAACAAGAGAATGATCCATTCATAACAGCA